TTGTAGTCCAAAACACTTGGAGGAACAAAGTTTACCCATGCCTGTTGTAGCAAGTCTATGTTTCCTCAAACATTGTGATAACATATTGACTGCTGCAAAGTGTCTTGTTTTTCCAATCTGGATCAAAAAGGAGATACTGAATATGCCAATCCCATAATCCATGTTACACCTATTCCTCCCAGAGACTGGGTTTTCCCAAAAAGCACTTGGGAATCAGCGACTCAAATGTAAATGTCATTCATGCTGAATGAGAAATGGGCACTTCAGTAATCCCTTAAGCTCCTTTGGAAACTTCTGTGTCATACAGGTAAGTGGAAAATACGAAGCTTGTCCTCAGCTCCTTAATGCCAGGTGCACTTATTACAGGCTAAGAATATCTGCATTTCTATGATCCTTTGGATTCTCATGTTACTGTGATGACATCTCGTTGGCTTTGACTTAAGTTGGCCAGTATGGAGTGGTGAGGTTCTTTAGTGCAGTGCCTGCTAATAAGAAAACTATTTATTTATTTATTGTGCCAGGAGCGAACCGAACAGTTGTACTGCATTAAAAACAAACAAACAAACAAAACACAATGTTTGCAGACTTGGTATTCTATTAAATGTCATTTGACCAGTATCTGGCCACTTGGAGTGCCTCTGGTGTTGTTGCAAGAAGGTCCTCCATTGTGCATGTGGCAGGGCTCAGGTTGCATTGCAGCAAGTGGTCTGTGGTTTGCTCCTCTCCACACTCGCATGTCGTGGATTCCACTTTGTGGCCCCATTTCTTAAGGTTGGCTTTGCATCTCGTGGTGCCAGAGTGCGGTGTATTCAGCGCCTTCCAAGAAATAGTTTTCTAAGATCTACAGAGACAGCAATATATTTTGCGTGTGTATGTTCAAGTTAGGTTCTTGGGTTTTTTTTCGGGCTATAGGGCCATGTTCTAGAGGCATTTCTCCTGACGTTTCGCCTGCATCTATGGCAAGCATCCTCAGAGGTAGTGAGGTCTATTGGAACTAGGAAAAAGGGTTTATATATCTGTGGAGTGACCGGGGTGAGACAAAGGACTTTTGTAAGTTGGGCTAGGTGTGAATATTTCAACTGACCACCTTGATTAGCATACAATGGGCTGACTGTGCCTGGAGCAAACTCTTCTTGAAAGGTAATTAGATGTCCCTGCCTGTTTCCTCTCTGCTGTTTTGCTGTTGCAGTTTTAGAATTTTTTAATACTGGTAGCCAGATCTTGTTCATTTTCATGGTTTCCTCCTTTCTGTTGAAATTGTCCACATGTCTGTGTATTTTCATGGCTTCTCCGTGTAGTCTGACATGGTGGTTGTGAGAGTGGTCCAGCATTTCTGTGTTCTCAAATAATATGCTGTGTCCAGGTTGGTTCCTCAGGTGCTCTGCTATGGCTGACTTCTCTGGTTGAAGTAGTCTGCAGTGCCTTTCATGTTCCTTGATGCGTGTTTGGGCAATGCTGCTGCGTTTGGTGGTCCCTATGTAGACTTCTCCACAGCTGCATGGTACACGGTAGACTCCTGCAGAGGTGAGAGGATCCCTCTTGTCCCTATGTTCAAGTTGTTTGTCGACGTATGATTTCTTAGGGAAGGACTTTCCAGATGTGGTTTTGCCACTCCCTTCCTCTCTGAAATATAGCCTGCAATTTAAATTAATCTGTTATTGCAAAACCCCAGTGAAACAAATCATTTCACATTAACGCCAGCAACAACAATAAAAGGCAGCTTTAAAAAAACAATTACAGTTTTAATTACAAGATCAGACTGAAGAATTATGCAGATTAATATACCTAGATTTGAATGCACGTGTTCACCTAGCATGAGGAAGATTGTAAATTAGATGCTAAGCGTACTCTCTTAAGGCATGTCTCCATCACCCAGGAGGCTGCTACCTGGAAGACGCTTCCTTTTGTTGCAGAACACATTCGCCATGAGGAAGGCCCTTGCGATGAAGCCTTTTCAAAAGAGAATAAGCCACAGAAAAGCTGGCATGCAAAGGAACTCTCCAAGCCACTGGGAGCTTTAAAAATAAGCACCGCTGTATTGGATTGAGCTTAGAAGTTTAAAGGTGGGCGGGGAGAAGGAACTAGTGCAGTTCTTTTAAGACTAGAGTTGCATTGAATCAAACTGGCAGTTCTAGGTTCCTCAGAGAATCTGGTAATCATTTTTTTTAGTCAGTGGAGTTTCAGCATCGGTGGTGCAGCAAGTCCCACATACAGTAAATTAGAGTCATTCCTCTGGGAGATTCCTGAACCGTGGATCACTCTTGGCAGGGTAACGCATTGCTAGGAACCAGGGCCGTAGCCAGAAAATTTTTTTGGGAGGGGTTGAAATGAGAACATTCAACACCCCTCCCTACTTAGTTGCTTCACTACATCGGCTATTGCTGTAAGTAATGACAGTGTGAATAAATTTAAAGTGCTGGTTCTAGCCTATAAAGCCCTAAACGGTTCTGGCCCAACTTACCTGTACGAACATATCTTCCCTTATGAACCATCTAGGACCTTGAGATTGTCTGGAGAGGCTCTGCTCTTGGCCCCGCCTTCGTCACAGGTACTTTTGGCGGGGACTAAAGACAGGGCCTTTTCAGCGGTGGCTCCCTGGCTATGGAACGCCCTCCCCAGAGAGATTAGATCTGCTCCCTCCCTCTTAATGTTTCGGAAGCAACTCAAAA